TCAGTTTGGCTGAAATTATTCAACCCGTGTCCGCAATATGGCATTTAACTGGTGGTCTGTATGCCCAAAGAGGTCTGCTGAATTCCTCCTCTACCACCGAATATTACTGTAACCCCCTAACATCGTACAACGTTGATTGTTCTCGCATCGGAATCTCGTTTCTAAATCAGTTTTTTTTCTATTACACGCCGGTGTGGCAGACGGCAGACGGGGTGGAACTCCATAGTCACGAAGACCTGCTGTTCATTGATTATAATCGGTAACCTTAGCCCCAGGACTTGGAATGACAAACGACATAAGGCCCCGCTATGTCAGGTGTGGTATGCAACTAAGTAGCACCAAAGCCGTCTACTATCAAATTTGGCTGGTGGTGAAGGGGCTCGAATCTCGGACCACAGGGTCCAAAGCATGCCGGTGACAGTGACTAAACCACTGCACTAACAACACAAACAGGTTTTTCACTCAAACTTTCGATGTCTATTTTATTGTTTACCATACCTGGACAGTGGGTTTTCATGGTTATAGGGTTTCCTTTGTTTCCATGTCCACCAAACCGACTAAATACGAAAACTCGGTCAAGTCGTCCATTTCCAGCACTAATCGCGTCTAGAAACATTTATCGTAGTGGAAATTACCGAAATAACTGAAAGTTTCTTGAATTCGTAAACTGCCATGCTCTGAATGTACCACTAGATTTGTGTACGAATATGACACTCTTTCGTGGCACAGCAACAATTTCAACAAGTTTTCGTTCCTATTCCTTTTTTCATTGTGCATTAAAACCATCCTGCCCCCCAACTTTATCGCGCTCAAATATGTTAATGATGTGGCACTTGGATGTCCCTCGTCTGATCCTGACAGTTTCTGCTAACTTCTGGAATGTGTAAATCAATTTTTTATTTGGTCTACACCCCCCCCCATTCTTTCATGCTGAATGCCAATAAATGTGTAGTTGTTCCTTCTAACCTTAAAGCAGGCACCCGTCAGATTTTTTGGTAACCAGCCTATACTTGTTGTTCACAATGCCATCATCCCCAATGCTGACTTTATCAAAAATCTCTAGGTTACTTTGCCAAATAACCATTTTGGGTTCGAGCAGGTTGATGATATCTACATTAGGGTTCGTAGACTATCCTTCTATGCTTTCACACCTACAAAGCTCGGCGTTCCCCTAAATGTATTTCCAAATTTACGACAGCCTGTCTTTTTCCAAACAGGTTATACTGGTTCTCGATCTAAACAAAGAGCGGACAATAAGTGAACTTTGTCTTAACCTTAGATTATGAAATGTTCCCATGTCTGTGAAAACTTTTCTCCCCGTTATGTACATTCTGACGGTTAGCGTGTGTGATTTGTTAACTGAAATGTGAGCGCCAGTGCTTGCAAAAGTTATACACAATACAAACTGCTTTCCCGTTGCAGTGGCATTTGCAATTTAATTCACGTGATAAATTTACTAGCCATACTGTCCAACGTAAAACACTGCCAGCACGCCCTATCGCCATAAATCTGTGTCTCATCCGAGTACGCGTTTGAAATTAAGGATTCTTCGTGCACGTACCACCACATACCGAAATAGCATCATCTTGCTTACATCTTAATAAATCCAGCAACCATGACTACTGACTGAAAATTGCCTATCAAATTAGCTTTTTATCACACCCATTTGTTTTTCATTTATTGAACGTTTATTGTACACCATTGTAGCTTGTCGAAAGTGCTGAACATCCACCCTATTGAATGCATAAAGCTTAACTTTACTTGACTAACCTTTACTTCGTGAAATTTACTTTATCGAAACGGAACATCTCGCATTCCCGAGTCAAAAACCTAGCAACAGTCTTATATCTTCGTGTATATTCATATTTCAGTTATCGTATATCCCAGACGTTTGTTACTTTAGTCAGCCAATCAGAGAGATATGTTGTCCTTTTCAACACGTTGCAGTCGCTATCTGATCGATGAAGCAGAATAACGTCAAACCGCACTGCACCACCATTCGTCCGTGTTGTTTCATTCGAAGGTTAACTACGAGATTGTGGTTACTTGTGAACACGTGCGAGGCCCCGCGTGTATAATCTTCATTTGTATCAATACTAAGGACTAATGCTTTATCGAGTCATGTGTAGCAATTCACATTCGAGTTTATGTGCGCAACATGGATGGGATACGCTCGAATTCTACCACGTTAGCTGTTCTAGATTTGAGGTTCGCTTTGGATCCTATGGTCACACATTCCCGTTCGTTGCAGTACCGATCATCAAATCTTTCTGACCCAGGAAATTGGACGTTTGAATCCTTCTCCATTATTTGCTTGTGGGTCTGGATTGTTGAATTTCATTGCTCTCATATTCCTATCTGTTTCCCGTTCTATACTACTTATCTTCAATCAGTGTAAATTCCCTGGTCTTCTACATTGTCTGGCCATGGAACCAGAAACTGCCCCAAACGGGAGCAAGAGTCAGGCATGGATTTCTATCTACGCACCAGACTTGGATCGACTATTGCCAGTAAATGGTCAAGTGGTTTTCTTCAAGTGAGTGTGTGTTCATTTGCTTCATGCTACTCATAGAGTGATCTTTTTGAATCGAAATTGTATCGTTGCGACGGGTGATCCTAGGAGGAGCGGCAAAACGTTTCGGTTTTGCTATTTGTTTAGCTTTATGCACTCTTGTTCAATAATAGGAACCAATTGTCGTCAGTAAACGCACCAAGGTACCGTCTAACGCAGATAAATTCGCACTTGTCCTCCAGACGCCTGGATACATGCATCCATGATGGTGATTTGATGTCGTCGCCGCATCCGCTTCCTACTAACCGGGAATCTCAAAGCAATATCCCAACCGTCTCTGTTGGCTGGTAGCAAAAACTGAAACTAGTATAGATACGCCAGCATTCCATATTTAAAATGTGGGAAGATCATACCTAGAACAGGCTACGTTACTCAATTTCGATGGGAGAATTGAAACAGTTAATAGACGAAGTATCCGGTCGATCGCGGTCGTTCACCATCAAGAGATTATTTTACCTCTCACTTCCGTCATCCATTTATCCTTGTAGACTTCCTCGTGAAGCGATTTTTTTCTGATGTGTGTTGCCGAAGAAGTTCAATAGAAGGATAGACAATCTCTGACCGGAGTCTTGCCAGTGGATTTTGATTTCCTGATTAATCTACTCAGAAGCAACCCGATCGATCTGTAATAGCTCTGAGTGGTGTGTCACAACTGTGTTCGGCTGTTTCTCTCTGATCCGGATGGAAGTTAGCTTGGTCGACTCGATGACATGTGTGATTTGTCATTTAACCGTGCCCATAGCTTGTGTTATTTGTTGTTTGTGCAGTTCTGTAACTGACGACTGTACAATTTCTTAAATGTTGTTATAGTCTGTGCATCTAACGTGCTCCAGACTAGCAAGTACCAATCAGATATGATATCCTCGGTTTGTGAGAGAACACACGTTTTCACATTTTATAGTTCAATGTTCTGCCTGTAGGGGTATATTTTACCGTGGAACGTTGTTCAGTTCACTTATGGATCGCACATAAATATACCTTATGCAGTATTTTTCCTGACTTATCCTATCTAGTAGATATTTCAGAACTGTTCCCTTTTTTCGTCTCTATTCCTCGATCACTCTAACTGTGGGAGCCGTGTGGCTTTGGTTGCTCACCTAGTTTATTGATGTAGATTGTCGTCGCTTAGTTATCGGAATAGCCCAATGCGCTAGGTTATCAAGCAAATTTGTCAAATTCCATTTGGGCACTTCCGATGTTCTTCATAGACTGTTTCGTCCTTTTATCTGTCTGTTTCACTAACCTGCACTCCAGCTTTCTGGGACTGTAATTCTCAATGCTGATGTAGTTGTGTCGTGAACTATAAACCGATGGCAACCTTGATGGTTTCCCGCACAGTTGATCATTATTATTATATTTCATACGCGTCTTAAAAATTATATGGAACTCTCTTTCCAAATTAGTCTTTCCTTTGATTGTAAATCTGTCTTCACCGCCGTGTTCACTTTCTTTTTCTAAATGATCCGTCCAACCATTACATCTCGCAAAGCAGAATCTATTCCATACCTCAGAGTGATTCTGAGTGGCATTCCTTAATGGCCGTCTCATATTGTCTAGTGCTTGCGTAAATGTCGTCTACTTTTCAAATTTGAAGGCTTAGACAATTCCACTTTAACTTCACTTGAGTTAGACATCTTCATGTGTATCTCTACGTTTTACTAGGCTTGCTTTCTTACTCCTCCATAATTTTCCCAATTCTATGAAAAGGACTTCATTGTGGTAATCTTAGGTTTTATCTAGTTGTTTTTCTCATCCAGTTTATTGAACTGATAACCAATGCATATGATTTAGATGTTCTTACGTATGCAAATTACGCTTTTAAAACTCTTGACAATTATCCCCATCTTTGAACAACCCGCGCCAGCCCAAGAAAGTATTCCCTTTATATCCATCAAAATAAGCCTAAGCAGCAATTCACTGTACCGCACTCGTGTACCGGCGAAGAAACGATCTATTCACCACTGAACCAGTTGTCAATTTTCTTTGAGTTACATCTTTTCCCTGACGCATTGTCGATTTACTGTTCACCTCCGTGTTGCATACATTAAACTTGCATGAGGGCTTAAAGCTTGACTGTACTCCGTATGGTGAATTCATGATTCTTGTCTTCTTCTTTCGCTTCACAGGGATGCCGCCGAACCATGCAAGACTCTGACTGCTGATGAGTTACAATCCTATCAGATCGGATCCTCTTGGTATGTTCATAATCAAATGATGCATTTTATTTTCCTCTCTGTACGATTGTCTCATATGTGTGGGGTGTTACCGCCAACTGGACATAATGAGGAACTTTTCATTTGTCCTGTATGCACCAGTACACCTGGTTCTTTTGTGCCTATAATCGGCAAAGAAGACTGTCTGCCTGGCATAGCATGGTTGCAATCGAATTTTCAATCTTGACGAATACCAGACTGCTCACCCTTCCTGGCATTTCTTCTTTGTATGTGTGTTCTGAGGTACCGTCAAGCGGTTTTTTGCGAAATCAGTTGGAGTCATTCGCCCGAATCGAATCCACAGTGTCGAACTAAAGTTGGATCCCACTTGAAGAGATCATCACTGATAATATGTTGCGTTCTACCGGATCTTATTGACATCTGGCCAGGCGGATTACGCGCTTATCCCAGGAACTACTCTAAAATGTGTTTCAGTTCAACAGACATGATCTGTCTCTTCGTCCCTCACACTGCTTGACAATAAACAACTTAACACTGTGTTCCGTAAACGGATGCATGTCGGACCATTCAAAATGGTTGATTGTGCGTGTGTGCCCGTGATAGAAACCTTATGCAAATGAGCAGCACGGATGCACATCAGTCGGTATGTTGTTGCCAGTCGGACTAGTGGTGATGAAATAGAGCTTGCGAATTGAACATGGATGATATGATGAAGTCATGTGACACAGTGCTCCGGCTCAAGCTCGTCTATTGACCGGTTATTTTCACTCATTTGACTTCCCATCTGAATCCCAAATACACATCGCTAGAAAATCTCATACTAACCCCTCACTTCACTCGCATACTCTAATTTTCTCCACTTTTAAATGGGCCTAGAATTACTATTTTTCGAGTACTAGTGCAGTAGTCAAGTAAGATACCCGAATACAAAAACATTCTGTGTTCAGTTTTTTTAATAGAATGCGATATGAGATGTAATGGTTGATGGAAAGTGGAAATGCAACTGAGTTTTGCGTATAATGGTCATTCCGCTACAAAACTTTGACACAATTAATCCTAGATGAATTGTAGGTTCTACCTTGAAACCGGCGCGTGTCTTTCGTCAAGTATTTCTTGACTGGCTCATTCGTTTTCTTCCTCTGCTGTGATCGCTCGATTCATTACCATGTATTATATATTTCACATCCGTCTGACGTCAGGCGGTGTGTCAAACAAATCGCGGCACAAGAATCTTTATAAAAAGGAAAACTTTCCATAATTTGCATGTGGCCTGAATACGGCCAGGTTACCCAGGCCAAGGCAGGTGAGTTTTATTGGGGAACCCACAATCGGAGCCTTTGGCTAGCCAACACCTGACCCGCAAGGCAGCAGGACGGTGTGCGAAAACTGCAATCCATGGGGGCCAGGTGTCCAGTTCATCGGATCATACGCCCTTTAGACGGAGTCAAACGTCCAAGGTGCCCAATCGAGCCGGTGACCACTGCCACAACCAGGAAGGTGTGAGTGTAGTTCGTACGCCCTCTCTTCGTTAGTTAGGAATCACGGTTTTTGGCCAACTCCCCTAGGTGAGCTACCAGTGGTCCACCAATCCGGATATAGGCTTTTTGTCCTCTCACTTTGGTGGGAAAACACCTCCATCACGAGAATGCAGTGAGTAGGGCTTGCTCAGCAAAAGTTATTTGAGACGCTTGGTCGTTTGGTAGCATTTCGTGAGGTGCAAGGGAAGGGAGAGCAGTCGCAACCCTAGACACCCACCCCCGACCATACTGAGACTTTCGGAGGCCATGTACTGTATGTTGAATGGTTGCATTGTGTAACCTTTTCCTTTGTATTGCGCTCCATTCAACAAAAGCTTCCCCTTCCTCATCATTGACCTGTATATTCCTTCGGGCTATAGAAGCGATGTGCTCTCTCGGGAACTATAAGTCTCACTGGGGGCATATGAGTATATGACTAGTTCCTTCTACCAATATAAAGCGCTGACGTTCGTGAGTATGTCATCGAGGTACTAACTTAGCCGTTTACTGTTAAATAAAGACCATTGCCTGCATGCCATTTCAATAAATCGGGTTCATCCGAAAACGCGTTCCAAATTTAGGATTCCGCCTGCACATACCACCACCTACTAAAACAGCATCATCCCCTATTTCGCTCGCATCGTCTTACTCCAAGAAAATGTTAGTACTGACTTGCAAAATCACCTATCCGATTAGGATCTTATCACATCTTTTTGTTATTGATTCTCAAATGTGTGACTTCTTTTTTTCAATGTCTTACACTTTATTCAATGTAAGTGCTGAATATTCATCTTATTGGATGCATAAAACTCGACTTGACTTATAAACTCTCAGCCATCGTTTACAGTAATGTATGGAGCTTCGCATTCAATTGGGAATAACGGCTGCAACTAAAATCCGTCATCCCTTATAGGACTCGGTCAAACCCAGGATGATCTTTATTCAGACAGTCATCACAGATGAGAAGTGAACATGTGCTTCTATCCGTCATCTTATGATTAGTGGCTGAGTTTCAAAATGAGGATTCACATCCAGCCGAGATAGAAGCGTGTAGGGTGCAGAGATAACGTTCAACGGACTAATATGTGACTTAATTGGGTCCTGATTGAAAAAAACCGTCTGGTTTTTCATAACACCGGAGCAATAACGTAGGGGAACGAAAACTTATGCGGTGAACCTAACTGACTAACAAAATGTCACAAGCTTTAAAAAAGAAAGGCACTTGTTCTTGGTACAGAAAACCTTATGGAGATTTCTGTGCACAATTCTCATTTGTTTATGTTTTTCTGGTAGTCGCACTTTGCTTTGTGATGTGTACTGTATTACAGTCTCATTTGATATTTTATGCCCACCCCAGTTCGGTACACATTTCCCATACTTCATGTCAACTTGTTCTATTTCCCACCCACTCAGGGACTCATATTCGCAAAACAAATCGACAAGTTTACCGGCTCTCACATACGGCCCAAGTCTGCCCCCTTCTTACCCGGACTCCGGGACAGGTTTCGGCTCCGTTTCTATCAAACGGACATGTGAACAACCGTTGCGTATATATACGGCCGAAGATCATCCACCTTCGAAGCTTGCATGATCTCCTTCTATAATAAGACTAATAATATGCAGTAAAATCTCATGAGCGACACGGTCTCTGCGGACATATGATTGGTTGTACATGTTTTGGATCGAACCCCGCCCTACCTATTGGACTATAGATCCCATTCACAATCGGCCGTCACTCATACAGATATTCATCGTCTCACGGGTTCTTTGAACATTTCTTTCTCTCTCGATGTGGGCAATTGGACCTTGCGCCCCGAAACAGTGGTGATTTCACCTGGTGGAATTCCCACTTGGTTACTCTTTATCACGTTCTCTCCTATCCCAGTACATACATGTTTCTGCGCTCACTCCTCTTTCTCTACCTATCCCTTTCATACCCAACTATTCATACGGAGACCTTTATGTGGTCCGGCTCTATTCATTCGTGCGATTGAACGCCAATGCGGTTGGCGATTCATAAGACAACATGGAAGAGGTTCACCCAATCTTATTGTGTTTGCCCCGGTTTGGATCCATTCCCGGACAGCGTTCCATACGATTTTTCATTTTGTGACCCAACTCGGTGATCCTCCATACCGTGTTTGTTCAACTTAAATTCATATACACACTCATCCGATTGATTGTCTGCTTCTCCAATCTCTGTCTGGTTCGCAACACTCCCCTATGAAGCGCGCACTTTTTTCGTCCTGCCGAATAGGTCCCTTCCACCGTTATTGGTTGTATTTCGCTTCTTTACCATCTCGTTGTGAGGACACCGTATCTGCTTTGACAGACCAGTTCGCGTTCAGACAACAATGCCTGATCCTGACTGATGAACAGGCTGTTCTCCGGGATCGTTTAGTAGGAGATTATCAGGGAAATGGTCTAGAACAACCATTCAGTGTACTTGGTAGAGCGAATTTGGTTACCGGCATTGATCAGCGAGAGCTTAAAACCTTCCTTGATTTCTCCAGGTGGAATTTTTCTCGGTGACTTACGTTGCTGGTGTATATTCTTATTTGGTTTTCCAGCCGTCTCACCCTTGCCGTAGTCTAACACTATTCACAATCATCAGTTCGATATCGTGGTTGTCCAGAAACAAGGCCCCATCTTATATAAGTTGCACATCCGAAGGAAACCACTGACGGGTATCTCGGGGGTACTTTTTGTTTTCCAAAGACGGATCAAAACGAAATCAGCTATTTCGGTCAAGCGATCGGTTAATTATTCTTCGCTTCTCTCATGTTGGGGGGCCCGAGGAAGGCACAAGCAAAAAGTCATTGGGCAAAATGTCCACACAAACTGTACTCACAATCGCTGGAGTGGGCTCTATGGCCAATTTATTATGAGGTGTGGCCGCATTTACATATAGATTACTAGGGCTGTCTCAATGTTGGGTAAATGTTCAGCTCTTATAGTTCTATAGGAAATCACAATCTACTAACCAGAGGTGTATTCCGTAACACTACGCCCCGGGCCCAATGCGTTAGAATTGAATCCGTAAGAACTGACNTATCTGCACAGATAATGGCTTACATTTCATTACCGAATATTTGTACTGGCTGAAGACACTTCGCTGTTGTCACTTGTTCACTGTCGTATAATCCAATAGATGGGCGGAAAACGTTACTGGTGTACCTAAATTTTTGCTTTTCGCTTCCTTTATTGTATATCATTTTCACTATGCCAGAAGTGGTCAGTCAAAGGGCTACCATACAAAAAATGATGGGGAAAACCTAGTGTTGGTGGTTGTATTCTCCGGCGTAATAATTTGTGACGTTACTACTTGCCACCACCGTCCAAATGTGCTATGTATGCTNNCTCTACGTCCGCACTGGAAGATAAAAAATATTTGAATTATTCCACAGCCTTCTCTTCACCAAATCTGGTGCATCATATTCAGCTCAGCTTGTCATCACCCCAACAGATATTGTTCCTGAAGTTGTATTGTATTGTATTATAATAACTTCTGCAAGCATGAAGCCCACATTGCAGTTAAAAATATACAGTTTGGAGCAAGGGAGAAAATGAAAATAACAATGAAAAAGGAGTTTTAAGTTCCAAAACTGTTAACAAATTCTGTGAAAACCTGTTCTTTGTTTACAAGACTACGTGCTAATGAGGGTACTGTGGAGTTACGATAAATGTTTATTCTAGAGGGAACACAATGATATTGTGATCTAGTTGAGGGATGGGAACAACAGGAAGTTAGATCTGCGTGTAGTCGATGAAAATCTTACGCGCAAACATTTCACATGCATTCAAATGACGTTCGCATAGGTTAGTTATGAACTCCTTTTGTGGGATTGAAGAGACACGGCTAATGATGGTCAATCCACGTCGAAGCAAATTAAAATCTTTCTTAAGGAGGTTGAGAAAAATAACAGATAAACAATAAAGTTAAACAGGAAAAACAGACTGATACACAAAGTTGGAAATAATCGATTGTGGAGTACAAAACTGACGAAGTTTACGGATATGAAAAGAAGGTCGTCGAAGCTTACTGACGATGTGTTGAATGTGAGAGGTCCAGTGAAGATTAGTATCAATAAAAACGCCCAGGTATTGAATACAGTTTACCCGGGATATTGGTTCGGAACCAATCGATACGGGTTCAGACGGGAAAGAAGAGCGTGATAGTGTAAAGAGACATTCGAAACATTTGGAAGAATTAAGAGATAGGTCCGATGTGGCGGAGAACCGTTGGACGTTATCCAAGTTATCAGAAAATTGTGATAGACCAGAAGAGTCAGAGGTGGCGTGACACAAGACCACATCGTCAGCATTCTGGAAGAGAGAAGTAGGGTCGCAAGGAGACAAGTCACTAATACACGTAGAATGTAAGTATGGGGGAAGAACTGCACCTTGGAGTACTCCAGACCAGTTCAACAACGGTTTGGATTTCTTTCGACCTAACTTGGTACACAGTTCTCTCGGAGAAGTAATCGGCAAGCCAAGCTAATAACTGTCTAGGACAAACAAAGGTCTCTAGTTTATGAAGAAGAAGGGAACGGGGAATAGAATCAAAAGCAGACGAGTAGTCCAGAAACACAACGGACGGATTTCGTAGAGTCATTCAAGGATTTGGTAGTTTTATGTAAAAGAGTGGAAACTGCATCCAGCGTGCCTCTGTTTGGTTTATAAGCAAACTGAAGAGAATCATATGGGACATCAACGGAGGACTGAATGCGCTTAAGAACAACACGTTCTGCTAGCTTAAGTCCAACAGAGGTTAAAGCAATAGGACGAAAGCGTTTAGTTAGAACCTTTGAAGTAGATGATTTAGGAATGGGAACAATTTTTACTGGTTTCCAACAGTCTGTTATACAGCAGGATTTTAAGGAATTGTTCAAAAATGATGTGAATATTTCACTAAGAGAATAGGCCCCATATCTCAGAAGGGAAGATGAAAGACCATCGGGACCAATATTGCACGTGGTTTTCACGGTACGCCAAAAGCTCAAGAGTTTCTTCTTTCGAGACGGCCTCTACTTGAACGGCATCGTCGAGAACAAATGGCGTGATCGCATCGCTTGATGGGTAGATAAATGCTGCATTGACACTGTCCAAATCTGTTGTACAATCCGACGTTTTGGATTTGGTCCCACACAGCAATTTGCTACCTTGCAAAATTCGTTTACTGATGTTACACAGCAGAAGCTGGGAGGTGTACGAGACAGAGAGGCGTTTGATTTCAGTTTTGATCAAGTCGGTGTAATGCTTGACAGCCGCTGAGTCTCTAGATTTGTACGATCGTTCCTTCTGTCTTCTGAATGATTTCAGCAGTGGAGATGCTATTCTGCCGCTAGAAACAAATAGAGTTTCAAAAGGGCAGCATAGGTTAAACGTGTGGCTAAGTGTTTCAGTGAATAAGTTGAGTGCATTGCGTAAAGAGGGATCAGAAGAAAACCACGTAGAGACGACACTGATGGAACGCTTAAGAGGAAGGGTGTTTCCTGGGGAGAGATTGCGAAGACGGATGGTGATTTGATTGGTTCTTGTGAGTGTACTGTGAATGAGACAGGAGTACACTATGGGTCTTATGAGAATCAGTGCATGATCACTAGTGGAAATAGGTTGGATGAGTTCTAGGGCAAAATGTTCTGGGTGATTGGTAATAACCTTGTCTAAAAATGAATCACCTCCTGTGGGGGACAAGCAAATATCAATTAAGCCAAAAGAAGTTATGTGATAGGTGGATGCATGATTAAAGTCACCAACAATGATGTGGAGGCTATCGTCTATGAGGGGAACGAAAGACGGAATAAATGCATCAAAGAAAGACGAAATGTGAGGCTGGGTACAAAAGGGGGGTATGTGTAATTTGGTAATGATTGTACTCCTATATCGCAAAAATCTAGGGAAACATTGAACAACTAAGCAGTCAATGCCATCGGCGGAATAATCAAAAAACTTTCAGACTTGCCGCTCCGGGTTGAGTTGATGTACGTGATCACTCCACCTCCTGTTTTCTTACAGTGCTTCCTATCCTTACGGAAGCATTTAAAACCATTGATACCATTTAGTGAGTCTGTGGTGATCCAGAATTCCGTGACCGCAATCCATGCACGACTAGGTAGAGTTTCATGTCACCTAATCACCGTTCAGGAAGCTGGACCAATGGTACACTGGGCGAACATGATATCCGAGTTAGCACATATGATACGTCGGTGCAAACGGTTATGTGATTAGAGGATTATCGTTCAACCAATCATATGGACTATTACATTCTATAAAACATGCTCTAATTCCATCAATAAACATGAGCATTTGGTGCTACAAATTCCTCGTGTATTTCATTGGTGTCCGCAGTTCGGTATATGTGCCTATTAGGACGACATTATTGCGCCTAGCAGACACTTACATGACGAACGCGTGCGTGCTTTGCTTGAAAGATTTTGTTCTCATAATGTTTCTAATAACCCTGATAAATGCGCCTTTGCGACGACTACACCTTCTTGTTTAGGCTTTTTGGTTAATGAATCCGGATTCCGTCCTGACCCTAATCGATTTTCTTCGCTGACTAATACTCCGTCTCCGAAGTCATTCCATAAACTTCGTTCTTTGATTAATTCTTTACGACACTATTCCAAGTTTATTTCTAAATTTTCCACTCNNNNACAGTCACAGCAAACATTTCAGTGGACTTCGGTCCATGAACGTGTCTTGAGGAAGTTACTTTCCTTTTTATCTACCAGTGCTGCTTTACGTCCTTTTTCCTCACGATAACTTTCTNCCGTTGGAATTGGAGCTGTGTTGGAGCAGAATGGTCATCCGGTGCTGTGCATCTCACGCAGACTCACGGTTGCCGAACGTGGATATTCCCAAACTCAACGAGAAGCTCTAGCTGTCTATTGGGCTGACACGCGTATGCACAAGTATCTTTGTGGTACTCATTTCACTATTGTGAGTGATCATGAAGCCCTGCAGTTCATTTACAACCCTCAACGTTCCCTGGCTAAGTTATCTGCAGCCATTGTACAACGACGGAGTATTGCGTTGTTTGCTTATTCCTACGACATCCATCGTCGCAGCGCGCAGTCCATTCCACATGCAGACTATCACACTACGCCATTTCATAGGAGGCTTTTACGGCTGATTGTCTGCTCACTCAACCGCTTCCGGTAAGCCGATCTGATCTATTTCACGAGACCAGGAAATATTACCACGCTATCATTTCCTGTGTCCGTCGAGGTTGGCGAGGTGATATCAAGCATTGATTTCCGGAGTTCTATAAACGTCGTGAAGAAATTTCTGTGACGTTTGATGGTGTCTTATGCTACCATGATCGCATTTTCGTACCTCCGACATTACATATTGCTGTTCTCAGTGACTTGCATTCCGGTCATCTCGGCATTAAAAGGTGAAATCTCTTGCTCGTCTCACATGCCGGTGGCCCGGATTGTATCATGATCTGAATCGTGTTGCAAAATCCTGTGCTGATTGTGAGCACAAAACTCATTGACAGCCTTCGAAATGGACTCCGTGGCCAGTGTCTTCCGAGTCATGGCAAAGAATACATGTGGATCACGGTGGTCCATTCTTCAACATGTCATACGCATTGGTGATCGTCGATTCCTATTCCCGTTGGCCGGAATTGTACTTTAATACATCGCCCAGTTCAGAATTTACTATTCGAGCACTCAGGAAAACGTTCAGTAGAGAAGGTGTCTCGCACGCTATCGTGACTGACAATGGAAGTCACTTTACTGCCAAGAAAGTTAGCAATTGGTTGAACTCCGTGAGTATTCGGCATGTTCTCACTCCACTCCGATATCCGCAATCTAATGGCGCAGCCGAAAACTTTGTTTGCGCGCTGAAGAGTGCCATTGCTTCTTTGAATCCCAGTACATTCGATGCATTGGACACAGGCGTTGATAACTTTCTAATGCAATACCGTAAGGCAGTACATTCAACGACGGGACACAGTCCAGCAAAGTTGTTTAAGAGTCGAGTACTTCGAAGAAGTCTTCTACACTTAGAGTCTGCGGAAGTCGTGTATTATCGTGGTAATAATTTACTACCCTCCAGGGTCACTGTACTGGACAATATGGGACAAAGAGTATGTCGCATATTGGATCTGGACCATGGCACTGTACATCGCAGACATGTTGATCAAGTAATCTGTAATTTGCCCAATCCTGATACTAGTTGTGAACTTACTAATACTTTTATCTCTGAGTCTTTTCCAGAGGAATTACATCCCGGTACAAATGTCGAAAACAATACAGAAGAACCCAGAAGATTTGAACGATTACTCAACAAAGCCCGCCCTGATTACAGAAAACCGGAGCTTCATTGAAGCTGTGGTGGATGTGGTGATTGCTCATGAACTGTGAACTCTTTTGTTTTATTGATATGATATTCTTGTACATTCCGAATTTCCGCTCATTACAGTTCCATTCCATCGCTGAGTTCCATGTTCTGATTTCGTTTTGAGTCTTAGTTCNACCTATAAGATCTGAACGATTACTCAACAATGCCCGCCGTGATTACAGAAAACCGGAGCTTCATTGAAGCTGTGGCGGATGTGGTGATTGCTCATGAACTGTGAACTCTTTTGTTTTATTGAATACGATATCCTTGTACATTCCGAATTTCCGCTCATTACAGTTCCATTCCATCGCTGAGTTCTGTGTTCTGATTTCGTTTCGAGTCTTAGTTCTGGGTTGGACTACTATTGCGCGGAATCCGATACATACACAAAGTCGAAGTTTTATTATGGGAATAGCTTACAAGCAGGTGCTTTTCTTGTTTCATAGGATATTTACACAGATGAATCGTTACACATCGAAAAAGGAGTCGCATAGAGATCCG